CTAAACATAGATCTGCCATATGATCCAGCAATCCCACTCTTGGGGATATACCCAAAGGAATGCGACTCAGGTTACTCCAGAGGCACCTGCACACCCATGTTTATTGCAGTGCTATTAACAATAGCCAAGTTATGGAAACAGCCAAGATGCCCCACTACTGAAGAATGGATTAAGAAAATGTGGTATTTATACACAATAGAGTTTTACTCAGCCATAAAGAATGAAATCTTATCATTTGAAAGTAAATGGCTGGAACTGGAGAACATCATCTTAAGAGAAGTTAGCCAGGCTCAGAAAGCCAAAAATTGCATGTTCTCCCTCATATGCGGACTTTAGATCTAAAACAAATGCAGTAATATTGTTAGATATGGGTCACACACTAAGGCTAGAACACATAAAGGAGGAATAGGGAAAGATAGGAAGCCCAAAACTTGAAGGTGTTTGATGTGCCCACTGCAGAGGAGCTAATACAGTAACCTCAAAATGGCAGAGGTCAATATGGGAAGGTGACTGGGAAGTAGTGAAGAGGTCTGGTAGAGATGAATCAATTTGGGTTCTAATGTACTTGTGCATGGAAGCAACGCTAGGAATCTCTCTGTATAGCTATCCTTAGCCCAAACTAGCAAAAGTACTATGTTTTTCTTATTATCGTTTATGTCTTCTCGTCAACAAAATTGGAGAAGGGGGCAGAACAGGTTCTGCCTGGAAGTGAGGGGGTGGGGAGTGGAAGGGAGGGATAGGGGGTAGGGGAGAGAAATGGCCCAAACAATGTATGCACATATGAATAAATGAATAAATAAAAAAAAGAATATTGGGTTTCCAAATCCAGTGTTTTGTATCCCTTTCATGTGTTTAATTTTATTTATTTTTTTTATGGGATTGGGATTTTTACTCAAGGTTTCATGCTTGTGAAGCAAGTACTCTACCACTTAAGCCATACCTCCAGTCCATTTTTTTTGTGGTTATTTTGGAGATGAAGTCTCTCAAACTATTGCTTGAGCTGGCCTCAATCTATAGTCTTCCCAGTCTCAGCCTCCTAAGAGTGGAATTACAGGCATGAGCTACCAGTGCCTGGCCTATAGCAGTTTTAAGCCTGTCTTACCACTATTAGACTATGACTCTTTCTAGCAGTTTGTCTTATCAATTTTATATGTACCACAGTGCTCTGTTCTATATATAGTAGGTATTCAGTAAAAATTTCTTAATTAGGTACTTTAAGCATTGAAGGGAAATCTTAGAAAATAATAAACAGACTTTTGTGTTATTCATATGATAAAATTTGGGCTAATCAGATGGATTTATAGAAGGTAAATTCCAGTAGGACATAACAGTGTTTTAAAAAGAATAGCTGTCTAGTCATGAAATGACAAGTCTTAGCAAACTGGCCACTTTTGCAACGCTAGAGGAGTGCCTGGTAGGGAAGAATAACTTAGAAGGAAGCTTTCTTAGAGGAGGCATTAGACTATATAACTTTTTCATCTCTGAGTCTAGAAAATTTATGAATTATAGAGGGGTTGCTAGTATTTCAGAATCAGATTGGGTTGTATTTTCTTTTCTCTTTTATGGTCTTCACTATTACAAATTACTCCAATGCTCACTGTCTGTAATATAGCACTTCTGAACTATACAGCAGCTGTAAGATGTAGGGATATTTTAAAAACAGAGCATAAAGAGATCTGCCTCTTTTATATGACTTTGTTCATAAGTGATTTAAGGAAGTCAAATATACTTAAATTAGGGCAATAAGAAAAAACATAACATTTCTGAGGAATTTAAAATAAAAATTTTAGTCTTTAAAAATTTTTGAGATGCAGTTCTCAATAGCCATTTAACAACTATAATTCAGTTTTTAGTATATTGAGCACAAAATCTGATTTGGAACATTTTATTGCCTAAAGCCCTGGTGAGAATCTCCAGTAGAGTGTTAAATCTGTATTGTATCCTCTACATAAAGCAAAATGACAACCAAGGTTGCTAAGCATTTAGAAAGGGAGAAGGAAGATAACCACATGAGAAAACAGACAAACAGCAAAGGCCTCATACAAAAAGAACTTGGGTAAATGTTGATACGTAGCTGGGTAGGCTGAGGATCTACCTAAAGCAGGTGCAGATAGATGCTCAGCATGCTTTGGAGTAGAGGTCAAACACAACCTGGCAAAATAGCATGGGAAATTCCAAGAGAGACAAATGATTAGTGTAATTTATCATTGTATTTGGGAAAGATAAAGGTTTGGGAGAGGCAGGAAGGCAAGCCATAGCTTGTTTTGTTGAGACCAGCTGAGCCAGAACCATAGTGGAGCACAAGGAAATTAGATTAGGGGGAGCTGGTAGACCTTTTTAAGCATACATAATTTAGCTCTTAGGAATTTGGCCAGTCTATGCATTTTTACAATGAAATTTTAAGGAAGAAAATAAGTTACCATGGTCAAGTCCAGTCTCAAAACTTGCCTAGATTTTAGTCTATCTAGTTTTGAATTTTACTTTCATATAAGAACTTGCAATTATTTCTGCCTTGTGCTTTTAAAGATGTATTTTCATGTTTAATATAACAATACATGGACATTGTAGCTCTTTTGATTAATTTTACTTGATTAATTTTACTCGGTTAGGGCTTTCTCATAATTGTATCTCAATTTGCCAAAGAATGGGTGAATTGTGGTGTTTGACCTGCACTGTGAGCCATCTGGTGCTAAGTATCATTAATATTAATGATTATCTTTCCCAGCCAGCTAAATTTTGAAAGCATCTGTCCACACTGGAGAGGCAATCTGCTGTATGAGGCAAGAAGCTTTGTAAACAAAACTTTAACTACAGAGTATTTGAAACTTGATTTCTACATGTTTAAATGTTTAAAGGTGGTACACATTTTCTAATTTCTAAAAAATTTGTTTGTATTACATGGTTAGCTGACTTCTCAATATGTATTTGCATGTTTTATTATTTTTATTCTTACCAAACTGACTCTCCTTGACTGGCACTATTTACCAGTTAGCAGTTGCACATGATTTTAGGTAAGTTGTTCAACAGCTCTAATCTAGAGTGTTTCCTCATTTGTAAACTTGAGGATAACAACACATACCTTCTAAGGTGGTGAGAATATTATATGGTGATGTACATCATCAGACACACCCCAAACTCCCATGTGGAATCAATAATGTTCCCAACAGTGTAGCAGATCACACATTTTTGTTAATGTCAAAATAAATCAGAAAATTAGTGAACCGATAGGATTTGAAATTTACTTTCTATACTTGTTAAGCCAGAATTTATAAAAATGAAATCCTAAGTATAATGATTTTTCATTTGTTTAGATTCTCTGTATTTTGTGATGCCTTTCTTGAGGGGAGTTGAGAGTCCTTTTTATATCTAATTAATTTTTTCAGCTATTTGGAAAGCCCCATCTAGAGCAGCTATTATTTTACAGATGGTAACAGAGGCAGGTGAAGTGGCTGGTCAAAGTGTATCAAAACATAAGTCATAAAAATGAATGTGGAAAGAGGGAGTTATTAAAAGAAAAAATGTTATTTATAGTTCTATTGAAGCATCTACCTTTAAACCATTTCCTTAAACATCCTTCTCCATATAAGGTAATCTACTCTTCCATAATAATACTTGAGAATAAAAGTGAGTGACCTGAAGAGCTTAGTATTCATGATGTCTGCTAACCGGAAACAGCAGTAGAGAATTGCCTTTAATTTTGGTTTTCTACCTTCAATAGTAGTCTTCCTATTGCAGAAATTGTTTTAAAGGAGAAAGAACACTTTCAGCAAATTATGTCTAATGAAAGAAACATTTAGTCTCTTTTTAAAACTATGTTTAGTTATGAAAGAATTGATTTATTTTTCTCTTTGCAGTAGAATACAGTTGTATCTTCTCTGTTTTTCATATCAATTTTATTTTAGAACAGCTAAGCTGTTTGATATTTCAGTTTTCAAAGCAAGAACAACCAGTGTTATGATAACTTTTTGGGTTTGACTGAGTTACAGCTATTTTATAATATTAAAAAAATAATTTGTGGGAGTGAATGCATATGCAGTAAAGGATAAAAGGATGGGATTTAAGCTAGGTATAGTGGCTCATGCCTATAATCCCAGCTATTCAGGAGGCAGAGATGAGGAGGATGGTGGATAGAGGCCAGCCCTGGCAAAAAAGTGTGAGATTCCCATCTCAATCAATAAAAGCTGGCTATGGTGGCACACACCTATTACCCCAACTACATGCTTGGGCATAAATGTGAGACCCTGTATGAAAAATAACTAAAACAGAAAGGGCCGGGAACCTGGCCCAAATGGTAGAATATCTGCCTAGAAAGCACAAGGCCCTGAGTTCAAACCCCAGTACTGCCAAAAAAAAATGCATTTTAAAACACTATTCTCCTTGAGAAAAGAAACTTTCTTAATCCTTAAATTCAGAGTACAAGGAATGGGGGCTTGAAACCTGTTCAGAAACATAGTTTAGCTTCTGCTCTTGAAGTCTAACATTGTTATTGAAAAAGACTCAGCAAATAACTAATATTTATGCGCTATTAGGATTGAAATGTGATCTATGCTTTTTGAAAAATCCTTTTTTCTTTTATGATCACGACATGCAAAGCATGGTGACATGTACTGTGTCTGGAGAAAGGCAAGGGAGTAGTGGAGGTCTCAAATGAGAGAGAAAAGTCACTGCATAGAAATTGTATGTTATCGAATAGAGTGAATGAGTGGATATGAGGTAAGACTAAGGGAAGTTACTATGTTATTTATATTTTAAAGAGGATTTTATGATTAGGAAAAGCATGCTTTCTATGAAGTTAGGCTATCAGTAACTTAGGGCAAAAACATTTACAAAGTAACAGTCATTTCTCCACTGAAGTTCTTTTTCTTGTTTATTTTGTCACTAACGTTTTAAATTCTTTCAGCTGTTCCTTCTCCATTGTCTATATATTTCTTAGGCTGTCAGTTTAACATCTCTGTTATAGGATGTTACATTTTTTGCTTGCTTTTTTTTTTTTTTGGCAGACACAGATAATGTACAAATGGATAGAGCCCAAAATCTGCAGGGAGGATGTCACAGGTGCTATTAGATTGCCCCCTTCTGGAGAGAAGAAGGATTGTCCGCCTTGCAACCCTGGATTTTATAATAATGGTTCATCTCCTTGTCATCCCTGCCCTCCTGGGACTTTTTCAGATGGAACAAAGGGTAGGATCCCTACTGGTCCGTGAATTGGACCTTTAGGAAAATAGCCTTGTCAGACTACTGTGACCTTGTTCTAACTTATATTTATAGAAGAAGTCGCTAAAAGACAATTTTCTTATCCCATTGAGACTGAAGAAGAGTTTAGAAATATGATAGAATTGTGAGATCACAATGGATTATTTATCATATATAATGATAGCTGTTTTAATAACATCTTATATAACACTTTTAGTGGGTAACTGTTTGCCTTTGAATATTGATAATAACATTTCACCATATAAGTGTTTAAGGATAATCACTTTTTTTCCTATATATGAATGCATGTATGACAAAGCAATATAGAAGCAAAAAATGCCAAATATATGACAAACATCCATACTATGTCCAGATTTTTTTTTTCAAGTCACCTTTGAAAAAGTTGTTAATTTCAAAGGAAATTGGTGATCTAATACTTCTCCTTCCCCCTTCCCTCTCTGCTAATTATAGCTTAGTGGTGCTTGGAACAGAGGTTGTTCAGATGCAGTTTAACTGTAATGTTTGTCCCACTTGTCTTCTATAGAATGTAGACCGTGTCCAGCAGGAACGGAGCCCGCACTTGGGTTTGAATATAAATGGTGGAATGTCCTTCCTGGCAACATGAAAACTTCCTGCTTCAATGTTGGGAATTCAAAGTGTGATGGAATGAATGGTGAGTTCAGAATCAGCCTATGCGAGCATCATTTGTTCTCAGACTCTGCTCTTTAAAACACACCAAATACAGGTATAAGAACTTCCATCTTATTGGGCTTCCAGCCTTCACATAAAAATAATAAGCAGTCAGATAACTTTCCCATAAAATATAAAGTGCAGCAGTCTTCCTTTTCACCTTCTGCAGTTTCAGTTAACCCAGCAACAGTGTTTTGAAAATACCAAATGGAAAATTTCAAATAAAAACAATGTATAAGTTTTAAATTGCCCATTGTCCTGAATAGCTGATGAAATCTTATACTATCCTCTCTGTCTTACCCAGGATGTGACTTTTCCCTTTGTCTGGTAGTATTTGTTATCTCTCTGTTAGTTACTTGGTAGCTATCTTAATGCTTGTGTTTAAGTAACTTTTTTTTTAAAATTTACTTAATAATGACCTCAAAGCACAATGGCAAAGAGAAGCCAGAAAGCAGATTCTTTAAGGTAAAAGGTAAAAGTTCTCAATTTAGGAAATAATATAAATTGTATACTGTGGTTGCTTAGATCTATGGCAAGAATAAATCTAGCCATGAAATTGTGAAGAAGGAAAAGTAAATTTGTACTATCATACTAATATCTATCATACTATCATACTATCATAACATATGTTGCTATCATACCTCAAATTGCTGAAGTTCTAGCTTCAGTGTATGATAAGTTCTAAGTTAAGATGGGAGAGGCATTAAAAAGTAGAACTGAGTGTTAGTCACAATTTCAGGCCTCTAGTAGGGATAAGGGGTGGAGAGAACACTGTATTACTTTGGCATGCTTCGGAGTCAGTTTTGAAGTGGATCTTGAGGATGATCTCTTACCTGTAAATACCGGAAAGCCATGCAAAGGCAGGTAGCAAAAGCGATGACGTTCACCGTTTTGAACAGTAGTAGTGTGTCAGCATCTTTCTTAATCAGCCAGCACTATGCCGTGGTAAAGGGTTAAATGAGCTCAAATTTCTTTTGTCTACAAAGTCTATGGTGTTCACGAGATACATATGATCCCACTTTCTTAAAAATGTCACAGTTCTATAGGAGAACTGCTAAATTTTATTTGTTCTACAATATTTATTAGTTGAATGAATGACCGTATCTATGTATGTATTTTTAAACTTGACACTAAGGATCAATATTCTCAATATCAGTGGGTTACACTGAAATGCATCCTTTAATTCTATCAGCTCATAGTATTTTTTATCAGCTCACATTTCTCCATATATTTGATTATTATATGCACACATATGATTTTAATTTCATTTGTTTAAAGTTAGTTCCTATAAAAAACAAACAGGTTTGGGATGTAGGAAGCGAAATGTACATAAGACTACAGAGATTGACAAAATACTAGGCCTTTGAATAATGTTGAGTGAGTAGATGAGTGAAAGAGAAAGACAAGACCTAATACATATCAAATATGAAATGTTCCTCTTTATTAAGGACTCATGTCTTTTTAAGGAATTTATCCCAAGGGAGAAGAAAAGCTGTAATAGTTACTACCTGACCATGAGCGTTTATGTTCCTAAATGTGTCCTCTATGACTGAATTCTGGAATGTAAGACTTACTGGAAAATAAGATTGAGAGAGCCAGCATATTGAATGAATTTTATAAAAGGACTAATACATGTGTGTATGTGTGTGTTCACTTAGTAGTAAAGGTTATTATTTTACTTGATCTTATAGTAATTATAGTGTAACTCTCATGGCAATACTTGATTTACTGTTTGCTAACAGGCTATATTTTAAATTTCTGCTAGTTTTTAGGGATGTTCAATTGTTAATTTGAAAAGTATAAAGCTCTGTTGTGATAGTGTGTAATATTGAAATAGCAAATAGTAAACTAAAAAAACCAGAAAGATAAAAAGTGGTGTATGTTTTTGTGACTGGACAGCTCAGTAACCATCCTTTGAAAGAGCAGCACTCAAAAGAGGGTCAAATTAAGAGGTTTGTGGGGCAGCCTGCTGCATAAGACAATCACCCATCTAGCCGTGGAGTTAAAGTGGGTGTGTTTTGACTAACTTGACTGTACCATGTGGAGTACTTTAAGGTTCAGGAATCCTCAGTCTGAATTTTAGACAGTTTGAGAATAGGTATGTAGAAGCAAATTTTTGCATATTGGAATTTTGTCTAAGAGCAAAGTTGGAGACAAGTTACTCTTTATTGGTGAAGGTGTTCATTAAGCATTATCTGTAATAAAAATTGAAATAGTCTAAATTTACAGCAATAGTATAATGTTTACAAAAGTTAGCTATCCTGATTGGATGAAATATTATGCTGTCATTATATAAAAAGCAATTGGGCACATGTTTCAAGAATTTTTAGTTTTTCTATTCTCCAACACAAATAATGCCATTTGGTGGGAATTTATACCAAAGAGACAATGCTGTGGAAGCAAACAAAATTATGCATAAAGATGTCAATTTTGGCATTATGTATGAGAAAAGCAGGCAAAAACAATTTAAATTGTTAGCAAATGGGGTATGGTTAAATAAAGTTATTATATGACAATATACATATTGTTACATTATCAAAATTAGATGCAAAAGGGATTTTTAATAAGGAAGTTTTTTAATGTAATAGTTAGAAAAAACAAAAGATAATGCTAAATGAAAAAATATCAGAGAATTAGATTATATGGTAAATCTTAAGTTGTATTCATTAAAAGTATGCACTAGAAAAAGCCTTCAGAGAAATACATGAAAATATTGAGGCTATCATTTGTGGGGGTGTGTGGAAAGTTTCAATGAAGTATAGAATTACTTAATTTTTTTGTCATTTAGTTTGCTACATTTAATAAATATTCCTCATAGATACCTATTGCTGTTAAAATCACAATGACAGCTGGAGATGTTGATTGAAAAATATATTCATTTGACACAATAATTCTTTCTCTGTGATTCTTCTTGAGAAATACTGCAATACAGAAAAGTCACCAAAATATGTTCATTTTATTGTCATTTATACTAGTTAAAGGTAAAAACAATTCAAATGTTTAAAATGGATTGATGCTCAATAGAAGATAAGTCATGTATAGTGAATGATTTGGTGAATTATAGAAATTAATTATATCTAGATGACAAAATATTATTCATATGTTGATGATGATGTATTTGTTAATGAAAAATCCTTATGCAATAATATTAATTTATAAAACCATGATTATCTTCAATAAGAGCCCTGGAGGCAAATGCCTATATGCTTGAAAGGAGTGAAAAGAAACCACTCCAATGTGAATGGTGGAGTTTTCTGGGTGATGAGATATAAGTAATTTTAGGTTTTATCTCTTAATTTTTTTAGTTTTAAAAATTTTATAGTAAGTAGAAATACATTTTTAAAAACAAAATATCTTAAAATATAAGTATCTAAAAAGATAAGAATGTGGGATTTACTCTTATGGAAAAAGGAAAATACAAAATTGGACATACCTTTATTAAACTGCATATGGGCAGAAGGAAATATATAAAACTTGTAATAGTTTTAGGGTGTAGTTTAAAAGAAATTGTTTTTTCATTGACCCCATTCTCTATATATCATGATTGAGATAGATGAAAATGGTAACTGGAGCACAGTAAAAGGCAGTATTTCCTGAGTTTCTACTAACTTTAATCTGCCCTACTTTCAGATCTTTCCTTTAGCATTCTGGAGATACTGTTGTACAACTCAGTGGCCATTTGCTCTGTGTGGCCACTGAGCACTTGAAATATTGCCAGTTCAAGTTGATACATGCTGAAAGTATACACACTAATATGTTCAGATTTAGTGTAAAACATACATAAAATGTCTCCTAATTTTTTATATTGATTTCATGTCAAAATGATACCATGTTGGTTATATTGTATTAAATAAAATATATCATTTCACCTCTCTCTTTACTTTTTCAAATGTAGCCGTAGAACACTTAACTCATATTTGCAGCTCACATATTTCTCTTGGGCAGTGATGGCCTTGATGCACTTAGAATGATAGCCCTCTAGTTTCTTTTCAAGGTTACTGTCCTTTTTTTGGTCCAATATGTTACCATGTGTGTGTCTTCCCACTTAGGCAATCTCTCACATTGGCAGTTTGGAGTTTCAGAGCATTGAATTCTTTCCTTTTGCCTTCTTGATGTTTTTCCTGCTAAGTTGTATGTGTATCTAATTTCCTAAAGCTGCTGCAACAGAGTGCCACAAACTGGATGGCTTAAAATAACATAAATTTATTCTCTCACAGTTTTAGATGCCATAATTGAGGTGTTGGCAGAAAATGTCCTCTAAAGACTTGAGGGGAAGATCCTTTCTTGCCTCTTCCAGTTTCTAGTGGCCCCAGGTGTTCTTTGGTTAAAGGTAGCATAATCCTATACTCTATTTCCCTCATCACTTGGCCTCCTCCCTCTGTGTTTTTGTGTCACTGTGCCTTTACATTGTGTTCTCCCTGTAGGTCTGTGTCATTTCCTTCTTTTCTTAAGGACATCAACCAATTGGATTAAAGGCCCACCCCAATGACTTCATCTTAACTTGATTGTATTTGCCAAGTCTCTATTTCCAAGTAAGATCCCATGTACAGGTGTTTGAGGTTAGGAATTCAGCAAAACTTTTATGGGAGACATGTTCAACCTATAACAGGTATTCCATTTGACTAAACCTTTGACTGGAGTCACCTCAAAAGCAGGCACAGCAGAGTTTCTACAGTTCAGTAGCACATTGTCCTGAGCTGGAGCTAGCTGGGACTCTGAAGAAAGACCTACTAAATGCCAGAGTGATTAGTCCAAAGCATTTATTAGGGGAAGTTACATTTACAGAGGACTGCAGCATAACTACCTAAAGACACAGCAAGTCAAGGAATATTCAACAGGTGTTTGTTTGCAACTGGGGATTGGGTAGAATTTGCCTCAGGGGCAGGGCTAGTTTCTTTCAGTGTTTTCAGCAACAACCTTAATATCTTTATTATTTATATGGGAATTTTTAATGTCCCCAGCTTGATTTTAAGTGTACCTGGGCAAACATACAACTTGCCAGATCACAGGGTGATTAAGGCATTTAAAAAAATTTTCTTAGGACAAAGAAAAATTGGGGGAAATCCAAGCACCCTATATCTGGTAATACTGAAATATGGTATTTATTTCCTCTTGTAGGCGTAGTGAGCCCCTCCAAACATTCCTCCCTTTACTCTTTCTTTTCTTTGGCCTGCTCTGCTGTTCTGTTCTTGGAGAAGCATTTGTAAAGTCTTCCCTTACGTGGTATAGAATTGCAGTATGCGGGAATAGCCCTCTCTTTCTTATCCCACCACAAGTTTTCAGTCTCTAAACCTAAATGCTTCCCATATTGAAGCCAAGGGATTCTTTTCCATGTGCCAGAGTGTTTTATGGTTATGTAACACTTAGCATTAGGACTGGATAGCTGTGTCTTTCTTCTTTTAATGCCATGAGCATCTAGACAGCAGAAAATGGGCCCTTCTCTTATAGTGGGTTATATTTAAGACTAGCTTGATTGGTGTATATTCAACATTTCACCTTTTTATAAACTGTTGATTATAACATTTAAAAATTGCCAAATCACCAATTGACCCCTGACATTAATCCCTTCTTCAGTTTCTTTATTATATCTCTTAAAGTAGCAGAATTGACATTTCCTTTTGGAGATGGAAGTGTCAATGAAATGGTATTGCCCTTAATGAATAACCTTGCTTGATGGTGTGTGGGTGCTTCTCCTTTTCTCATTTTAATGTGGCCATCTCAGTTCATGGTATGCTAATTGCTCCTGCATAGAGGACAGACCTCATACAGCTGCCTGTGTGTAGCTCTGTGAACACATGCTGTCAACAGTTGTTAGAATGTATTTATTTCTCACGTTATACTTCTCAATGAGGGAGATCCTGCTTTATCTTACTGTCCTATGCACATCATAGTTACTGGTGCTTACTAAAAGTTGAACTCTGTAGAACTATAAACTCTAAGAAAGAACTCTAGACCCCAAATCTTCTTTATTAAGTAATTTGAAGTTTCTTTTTCCCATTGGTTACGTATAGACTAGGATTTTCCATCTCAGTGTATTAGAATGGACAAAGATAATCTGTTCCAGTTTACAAAATCATGCTTCTGGGCTTGTATGCTGGCTCATGCCTATAATCCAAGCAACTCGGGAGGCTAAAACAGGATGATTGTGGTTTGAGGCCAGCCTGGGCAAAGGTTAGGGAGACTGTATCTCAAGATCAAGCTACATGTGGTGGCACAGACCAGTTATCACAGTCACATGGGAAGTGAGGCCAGACTGACAAAGTTAACATGAGATGCTATTTGAAAAGTAAACTAAAAAATCATAAAGGACTGGGGACATGGCTCAAGTAGTAGAGTGCTTGCCTACAAGTGTGAGACCTTGAATTCAATTCTCAGTACCACAAAAAAAAAAAAAAAAAAAAAAAACTCGCTTTATGCAACAGAAAACTATTGTTAGTTCTCATGTTAACTAATATTTATGCAAAAAAGTACATTCAGAAAGTCTTTATAGGTATCTAGAAGTCTACCTCTGCATACAGTTTACAACTGTGATTTAAGAATAGGGAATTTTTTTAGTGTATTTCTCACTTTGAACATAAACATTTATTCCCCTTTTTGTTTTTATCTTAAGAAAATTTTGGAACTTATTAAGGGAAGTTTTACTAATGAAAGTGACTTTTATCATTTTTAGGTTGGGAAGTGGCTGGAGATCACATCCAGAGTGGAGCTGGAGGTTCTGATAACGATTACCTGATATTAAACTTGCACATCCCAGGATTTAAGTAAGGAAAACCAATTCTGATTTCTTTCTATAAGAATCTTCACACCTACTTTCCTAGAGAAATAGATGAAGTAGGACTGCCTTTTATAGAACATATTAGTATTGCAAAGTATTTACTAAATAACAATTTGTCACAGAGTGATGCATTGTATTTAAGAATATCTGTTGAATCAGTCACTGATTCAACATGAATATTAGTAGATGTTACCTAGATGAAGCTGAAAAATTTAACAGTATTACATCTAAAGGTATAATAATTATGATTCTTAGAGGCTTCATGAAGAAAAATTTATCTAAGCTGCCTGCAGGATTATTGTTTTGCATGTATCTATTTTTCTTTGTTTTTATCTGTAGAATAGTATATTGCAAATTTATTTATCTCATTTTGCTCTAGTCCCCTATGCTGAGATTTCTCAGTAGGAGCCTTTTTCTTGTTTTAGGGTCAGCACAGTATTTACATCAAGAGTCAAGTCTGTTACCATAGCTGTGTAGACTTCACCAAAGACCCAGTAAGGAAGGGAGCTGTGCGTCAGGAAAAGTAGAGTAGGGGAAGAGAAAAGGATGATTTTCAGTTTAATGAGAAAAATGGCTTAATTTTGTTCCAGATTGTATTTAGAAAATACTATAAATGTTGCAATTTTAATCTGTCAAATAGACCACCAACATCTCTGACTGGAGCCACAGGTTCTGAACTAGGGAGAATAACATTTGTCTTTGAGACCCTCTGTTCTGCGGACTGTGTTCTATACTTCATGGTGGTAAGTGGAAGAGCAACTTTTGAAGGAAAATTTCGAAGTTTATCATTCTCTTTTGAGTATGAATTCATTTACAGAAGTTGGTATAAGAATCCCATTTTTCTTGCCATTCTTAGGGTTCACTAAGAAATCACTAAGACTTGTGTAATTAAAGTCCAGAAAGAAAGTATTCATTACTTATAGGGAGATATAAATAAGGGGGCCAAGGTGAATGATAGAGGTCAGAGATTATTAATCTGTAGGAAGTTCTTCATAAAAATAAGGCACCAGTAGAAATAAAATTCTCCCATGATAACCAGTTAGCAATTTAAACCATCAGAAGAGAAAATATATTGATAATTAAGGGCAAAAAATAAATGGTGGTATAGAGCATAAGAAAGAGAAAATTTTTTATTGTTAAATTTAATACAAATTTACACCAAGGTATTTACTATGCCCTTCTCCTAAATTTTCCCATTCATTCTCTACATGTGATTTAAATCTCAACTCCTAGCTTGAGAAATGAAGAATGCAAATTTCACCAAGACCTCATGTGTATTTTAGGAGGTTGCTGGCCAGGGTTTTAACATAATTAGATAGTGACTCATAAACCTGCTTTGTTTTTATTTGTGTTTTTTCCCCAGTGACCCTTTAGCAACTAGATAATAGTCCATGTATTATTTCCTCCATGATATGCAAGATATGTGGAGATTTAAATATTTTATTTGTGATTGCTAACAGCTTAAATAGAGGTGAACTATTTTGTTCTGAAAATAAAGGTAGTGATAGTAACAGCAAAAGATCATAGATAATTTTTAATACAACTATCTACTATACCACAAAATCCAATAAGTCTTCAGGTCTCTCAATTCTGCTCCCTTATTTCTTTAATATGTTATTTCCTAGTCAGTGCCATTTCTGAAATTCAGATTCTTATTATCTTTCACCTAGACTGTTCAGTAATCTCCTATCCTTTATTTTCATTTCTACTTTCTCATGCATGCTGCTATTAAATTATCTCTATAAATAATAAAAACAGTAGTAGAGATATGAACCACAAAATTACCCCCTGTCTCACAGCAGCAATTCTTAATATTCTTTCTTTCTCTCTCTCTCTCTCTTTTTTTTTTGATCTGCTGGGTGTTCATTGTGGCATTTACAAAATTGTTACAATATAGTGAATATATCATACTTGAATTCACCCCCTCCATCATTCTCCTTTATTTCCCCTTCCCCCATTCCTGGAATAGTTTCAACAGGTCTCATTTTTCCATTTACATACCTCTATACACAGTATTTGCACTATATTCACCCACCTATACCCTTTCCCCTCATCTTCCCCTCTCCCACTGAGTCAACCCTCCAAGACAGGACCTGTTGTACCCTCCTGTTCTCGACTTTTGTAAAAGGAAAAAAATGACATTTTTTTTTGTCTAAGATAACTATACAGGAGTTTCCTTCTGACATTTCCACGTGTATATGTATTATAACCTGAATTGCTTCATCTCCTTTATTTTTCTCCTTTCTACATTAGTCTCCTTCTTATGGTAGCTTCAACTGGTTTAAAAATTCTATGTTCATTCTTATATAGAGAGTACATCAACCATATTCATTTTCTTTCTTTATTTTTTTATTTTATTCATATGTACATACAATGTTTGGGTCATTTCTCCCCCCTGCCCCCTCCCTTAACAACCCCATCCCCTCCCTCTCCCCCACTACCCCCTTGCTTCCAGGCAGAAACTATTTTGCCCTTATCTTTAATTTTGTTGTTGTTGTTGTTTTTAATGCAATTGGTATTCATTTTATTTTATTTTTTTATTGATATGTGCATACAATATTTGGGTCATTTTTCCCTCCTTCCCCTACTCCCTCCCTTAACCCCCACCCTTCACCTTTTTCCTCTCCCCCTCACCCCCTTGCTACCCGGCAGAAACTATTTGCCCTTATCTCTAATTTTGTTGAAGAGAGCGTATAAGCAATAATAGGAAGGAACAAGGGTTTTTGCTAGTTGAGATAAGGATAGCTATACAGGGAGTTGACTCACATTGATTTCCAGTGCATGTGTGTTACCTTCTAGGTTAATTTTTCTTGATCTAACCTTTTCTCTAGTTCCTGGTCCCCTTTCTCCTATTGGCCTCGGTTGCTTTAAAGTATCTGCTTTAATTTCTCTGTGTTGAGGGCAACAAATGCTATCTAGTTTTTGAGGTGTCTGACCTATCCTCATACCTCCCTTGTGTGCTCTTGCTTTATCATGTAATCAAAGTCCAATTCCCTTGTTGTGTTTGCCCTTGATCTAATGTCCGCATATGAGGGAGAACATATGATTTTTGGTCTTTTGGGCCAGGCTAACCTCACTCAGAATGATGTTCTCCAAGTCCATCCATTTACCAGAGAATGATAACATTTCGTTCTTCGTGGCTGCATAAAATTCCATTGTGTATAAATTCCACATTTTCATAATCCATTCATCAGTAGTGGGGAATCTTGGCTGTTTCCATAACTTGGCTATTGTGAATAGTGCTGCAATAAACATGGGTGTGCAGGTGCCTCTGGAGTAACCTGTGTCACGTCTTTTGGGTATATCCCCAAGAGTGGTATTGCTGGATCATATGGTAGAATCAAATGTCAGAATGAATAACATTTCGTTCTTCGTGGCTGCATAAAATTCATTGTGGTATAATACGACATTTTCATAATCATTCATCAGTAGTGGGGATCTTGGCTGTTTCCATAACTTGGCTATTGTGAATAGTGCTGCAATAAACATGGGTGTGCAGGTGCATCTGGAGTAACCTGTGTCACGGTCTTTTGGGTATATCCCCAAGAGTGGTATTGCTGGATCATATGGTAGATCAATGTTTAACTTGCAATTCCCGTCAAAATTCCAATGACATTCAAAAGAGATTGAAAAATTTACCGTTAGATTTATATGGAAACACAAGAGGCCATGAATAGCCAAGGCATACTCAGTGAAAAGAACAATGCTGGAGGCTTCACGATACCCGACTTCAAAACTAATATTACAAAGCAATTAACCAATAAAAATAACAATAAAAAAATGGTACTGGCACAACGAAACAGACATGAAGACCAGTGGAACAGCAATAGCAGGACCCAGAATTTATTTGAAAGCTACACAATTAATAACCAACTAGTCTTTGACCAAAGGCGCTAACAATATTACCGATGGAGAAATAGCAGCCTCTTCACAAAAACTGCTGGGGAAACTGTTAAGAGTTGCAAAACACTGAAATCCATGTTTATCACCTATAAACCCAATATAACTCAAATGGATCAAGGAGCTCAATATAGACCCCCCAAACTCTAATATTTTCTCCCACTCTGTGGGTGTTTTCTTCAGTTTAGAGACCATTTCTTTTGAGCAGAAGCTTTTTAGTTTTATGAAGTCCCATTTATCTATGCTATCTCTTAGTTGCTGTGTTCTGGGGTTCCATTGAGAAAGTCTTGCCTATACCTATTAGTTCCAGAGTATTTCCTACTCTTCCTGTACCAACTTAAGTTTGGGGTTGATATTAAGATCCTTGATCCATTTTGAGTTAATATTGGTATAGGGTGATAACATGGATCTAGTTTCAGTTTTTGCAGACTGCTAACCAGTTTTCCCAAGCGTTTTTGTTGAAGAGGCTGTCTTTTCTCCATCGTATATTTTTAGCGCCTTTGTCAAAGATAAGTTGGTTATAGTTGTGTGGCTTCATATCTGGGTCCTCTATTCTGTTCCACTGGTCTTCATGTCTGTTTTTGTGCCGTACCATGCTGTTTTTATTGTTATTGCTTTGTAATATAGTTTGAAGTCAGGTATTGTGATACCTCCTGCATTGTTCTTTTGACTGAGTATTGCCTTGGCTATTCGTGGCCTCTTGTGTTTCCATATAAATTTACAGTAGATTTTTCAATCTCTTTAATGAATGTCATTGGAATTTTGATGGGAATTGCATTAAACATGTAGATTACTTTTGGGTATAGACATTTTTACTATGTTGATTCTACCAATCCATGAGCATGGGAGATCTCTCCACTTTCTATAGTCTTCCTCAATCTCTTTCTTCAGAAGTTTATAGTTTTCCTTGTAGAGGTCATTCACATCTTTGTTAGGTTTACACCTAGGTATTTGATTTTTTTTGAGGCTATTGTAAATGGAATTGTTTTCATATATTTTTCTCGTTTGTCATTATTAGTGTATAGAAATGCTAATGATTTTTCTATGTTGATTTTATATCCTGCTACCTTGCTATAGCTGTTGATGGTGTCTAGGAGCTTTTGAGTAGAGTTTTTGGGTCTTTAAGGTATAGGATCATGTCATCTGCAGATAGGGATATTTTGACAGTTTTTTACCTATTTGTATTCCTTTTATTCTTCTTCTTGCCTAATTGCTCTGGCTAGGAATTCCAGTACTATGTTGAATAGGAGTGGAGATAGTGGGCATCCTTGTCTGGTTCCTGTTTTTAGAGGGAATGGTTTCAGTTTTTCCGTTAAGTATAATGCTGGCTGTAGGTTTGTCATATATAGCTTTTATAATGTTGAGGTACTTTCCTTCTATTCCTAGTTTTCTTAGAGCTTTTATCATGAAATGGTGTTGGATCTTATCAAAGGCTTTTTCTGCATCTATTGAGATGATCAAGTGGTTTTTGTCTTTGCTTTGTTAATGTGGTTTATTGATTTTTTCGTATGTTGAACCACCCTGCATTCCTGGGATGAAGCCTACTTGGTCGTGGTGAATGATCTTTTTGCTGTGTTGTTGAATTCAGTTTGCCATTATTTTATTGAGGATTTTTGCATCAATGTTCATTAAGGAGATTGGCCTGTAGTTCTCCTTTTTGGAGGTGTCTTTGCCTGGTTTTGGGATAAGTGTAATACTGGCTTCATAAAATGTGTTAGGCAGTTTTCCTTCCCTTTCTATTTCATGGAACAGTTTAAGGAGGGTTGGTATCAGTTCTTCTTTAAAGGTCTGATAGAATTCAGCAGAGAATCCATCAGGTCCTGGACTTTTCTTTTTGGGGAGA